ACATGGAATAGTCAGGGTCACAGTGGTTACCAGAGCCTGGGGGGAGGGGCGAGAGAACTTCTTGTGTGTAGGTTACACTTTCAGGTTGCGATGTTGGATAGTGCTCATGCTTGTACAGCATGAATGTACTTAAGCCACTGAATTGTGTACTCAAAAAGGGCTAAGATGGGAAATGTGTTATTTTACCACAATAAAAAGAAATCTTTACTTTGATACTGGGGTTGAGACTGAACATGCCAGCTATGTGGCTCGGTACTTTCATGTGTGATTCTCCTGTTACCGTGGAGAGTACGGCAGCTCTAGAAATCATCCGGTTTGCAGCTGAGAACCTGAGGGATTATGTAGTCCGTCCTCATCTTTGTGGAGTGGAGAAGGGACGTGGCTTGTTCAGATAGTGAGCGCCTTTAGCTGGCACTCAGCTTGGGTTCTATACGTACATTCCTTGGTTGGTCCGGGAAAGCTGTACTGGTTGGCTATCATGCAGCGGGCATGATGGCTGTAAAACTGCGCTCCAGGACTCACCTTCAGAATCAGACCTCATTCAGTGCCAGACTGGTGGTGCAATCACACCGAGTCTCCTTGCACGCATAAAGTTCGCACAGATTTCTAACACTACAGGTTTGACCGCTTCTCTTTGTTACATCCCTGTGGCTAGTAGCACTAGGTCCCTAGTAGCCCGGGTCCCTTTTGGATTTCCATTTATGTCACTTCGTTTGATATCACAATTAAGCATTTAATTTTTTTTTCAATTTTTCTGATCTATTTTTAAAATAGAAGAAAGTATACAAAAAATAATAGAACTATCCACAGTACAGATGTAACATAATCTTTTGCTGTATTTGCTTCAGTTCTCTATTTCAGAAATGATACAGACGTTGCTCAGTCGCATTTTCCTCTCCCCTGAAAGGAATCACAGTCCTCTTGTTTCCGTGTGAAATGACCTCTCTTGGTGTTCACGTGCGTTTCTTGATTACTGATGAGATCGGTTATTATTTCACGTGGTAGCGGCTGTCGAGGGCCTCCTCTTCTCTGCATTGCCTCTTCCTGTCGTTTTCCCGCCTTTGTTGGGTTGTTGGTCTTTTTCTTATTAAGTTTTAGGGATTCTTCATTCTTTATTCTGTTATCTCTTCTTCCTGTCCGTGGCTTATTTTTTTAGCTTCCTTTATATGATATCTGCTGTCATACAGTTGTTTTAAATATTAACAGAGTCAAAGTTATCAACTCTTTAGGAAGATGAGTGTCCCAGGTCATAGAGATGGCCTCCTGTATTTCCTTATTGAGCTTTAAGAAGTTTTGCTTTTTGTAACTAGGTCTTTAATCCATCTAGAGCTACTTTTTCTATATGATAGGAGGCAGGGATGTTATTTTGTCCATATGGCTAGCCACATGTCCCAACAGCATTTATTAGCTGGTGCTTCCTTTCTCCACTGGCTTATGATGCTATCCTTTTATCCAAGGATGCAAACACATTTTTCAAACCTGACGTATAACTGAATATGAGTCCAGCAGATTGGAGGCTGAGTGGTAGACAAAAGGCATTCCACACAAACCCTCTAGACCATTAAGAGAGAGCTGATTCTTTTGCATTATGACCTATTATGGAATAGAAAAAAATAATACTATGTATTCAAAAGGTACTCCAGGTATCGGAAGGAGTGCATTGGTAAGCCAGGTTGGTGACCTCCTCCCTCCTGCTGGGTGTGGGTTGCAGTGAGTACTGTCCTGGTCCTGGTATATCCTATCCCTGAGGGAAGCAAGACGGATGGGAGAGTGAACTATGGGAGATTTGCTGATAATAAGCAGTAATCTCTGTTTTTTTTAACTTGGTCTTATTTTCTGCCTTAAGTGATGATTGGCTCATTTATCTCTTTAAATTAGTTATTACGAAAGCTAGTTTTTATAGCACATGCAAAACCAGTAGGGGAAATTGCCATAAACCAAGGTTGCAGAGTCAGCCCCTAGTGTTTGGCAATAAAAAATTTATTTTCATAGTAATTTAGGTCCTAAAGTTTTCTGTTGCCTGGCTTTGTTTTTCCTTTGTAGTTTCACCTGGAATCACCTACTTCAGATTCACCTAGGGCATAATTATTGTGTTTTAATACTGTACTTTCCATCCCTGTGACTTATTTCATTCGGACCTCTTAATCCCCTTCCCCGATTTCATCCATCTCCCAGTCCCCCTCCCCTCTGGCAACCACCAGTTTATTCTCTGTATTTATGAGTCTGTTACTGTCTTTGTTTATTTGTTCATTTGCTTTTTAGGTTCCATATGTAAATGGATTCATATGTTAACTGTCTTTGAAATCTGTCTCTGATTCATTTAGCTGACTTAGTTCATTTAGTGTAAGACCCTCTAGGTCCATCCGTGTTTCTAGGAATGGCAAGATCCCATCCTTTCTTCCTTTTTTTTTCTTTTTTAAGATTTTATTTATTTATTTGTGAGAGGGAGAGAGAGATCATGAGCAGGGGGAGGGGCAGAGGGAGAAACAGACTCCCCGCTAAGCAGGGATCCCAATGTGGGGCTCGATCCCAGCATCCTGGGATCATGACCTGAGCCGAGGGCAGATGCTTAACCGACTGAGCCACCCAGGTGCCCCAAGATCTCAATCCTTTCTTACAGCTGAGTAATATTCCATTATGTATGTATGTGTGTGTATATATACCACATCTTTATCCATTCATCTATTGATGGACACTTGGATTGCTTATATATTTTACTATCATGAATAATGCTGTAGTAAACATAGCAGTTCATCTGCCTTTGAATTAGTGTTTTTGTTTTCTTAGGGTAAATACCTAGAAGTAGAATTATTGGATTATATGGTACTTCTATTTTTAGTTTTTTGAGGAGCCTCCGAACTGTTTTCTGGAGTGGCTGCACCAGTTTGCATTCTGACCCAACAGTGTATGTGGATTCCCTTTTCTCCACATCCTCATCAACATTTGTTGCTTCTTGTCTTTTTGATTGGTATAAGGTGATGTCTCATTGTGGTTTTGACTTGCATTTCCCTGATGATAAGCGATGTTGAGTATCTTTCCATGTATCTGTTGGCTACCTGTGTGTCTTCTTTGGAAAAATGTCTGTTCAGGTCCTCTGCCTGTGTTTTTTTCCAAAGATTTTACTTAATTATTTTATTTGAGAGAGAGAGAGACCATGATGGGGAGGGGCAGAGGGAGAGGAAGAGCGAGAATCTCAAGCGGACTCCACGCTGAGCACAAGCCTGACGCAGGACTTGATCTCACAACCCTGAGATCCTGACCTGAGCTGAAACCAAGAGTTGATGCTTAATTGACTGAGCCACCCAGGCGCCCCTCCTCTGCACATTTTTAATCAGATTATTTGGATTTCTTGGTGTTGAGTTGTACCAGTTCTGCATATATTTTAAATATTAACCCCTTGTCATATATGTCATTTGCAAATATTTTCTCTCATTCGGTAGCTTGCCTTTTCGTCTTACCGGTGGTTTCCTTTGCTGTGCACCAAGAGCAAAATTCTGAATTCATTACATCCCTTTTAAAGCAGACAACAAAGCCTTTTTTTTTTTTTTTAAGGTTGAAGTTGTCACTAGGATGTTCTTTGTAGCGATAGTGATCATTCTTTACACACTTCCCTTGTTTTTCTTTTAGCTCCATTAAACTTTAAAAGAGGTTTTCTGTGGGAAACCCAGTTTTATTTCCCAGGAGTAAAATTTTTCTTGTTAAAATTTTGAAGAAAACATAATGAAGAAAAGGTTCTAAAAGAGAAGAAGTATTTTATTGCAGTTATCTGTACATGATACTGTTTGAAGAAACCGTCAGGGATCTCCTAAGTTGTATGAGTTTGTTGTATGCATAGGTTAAATTAATTTTTTTATATTACTTTTATTTAGTTTTAAATGACCCATACTTTAGATAGAGTCTGCTGGAAAATTCATTGGAGTATAAGTTGGATTGCAATGTTAAAAAATAGTCAAATAACTAGAAATCCTAGGAAATAAAATGCCGATGGCAAATACTGGATTCTTTAAAAGGATCATAAGGGTGAAACGAGATGAATGCTAGAATGGAAGATAGCGCAACACGTTATCCTGGGGTCTCCAGTGCAAAGACTGTGATTCAAGGAGATGGAGGGCAAGGGGAGAAAGTCCTCAGAGAGTTCTTATTTGTGTTTAATAATGGCAAACCGTAATTGCTGGTGATAACAGATAAGTAATATAAATGTAACTGTTTCTAACCCTCCATACCCCCGATAACATAAGATAGCATTTTCTTTTTTTTTTAAAGATTTTATTTATTTATTAGAGAGAATGAGATAGAGCATGAGAGGGGGGAGGGTCAGAGGGAGAAGCAGACCCCCCGCTGAGCAGGGAGGCCCGATGTGGGACTCGATCCCGGGACTCCAGGATCATGACCTGAGCCGAAGGCAGTCGCTTAACCAACTGAGCCACCCAGGCGCCCCAAGATAGCATTTTCTGACGTCTCTCCCTCTGTCCCTCACCCCCAAAATACTGGTTCTGTTATATGGTTCTGCACTGTATTTACAGTTGTTTCCTACTGAGTGAGCCGTGTAGCCTCTGTATTGTACCGTAGCTCCAGTTGGAGGTCTTGAAGAGAACTACGGACTGTATTCAAGAAGCCACGTGAATGTGTTGTCACCACAGTCCGAGTGTGTTCAGGTGTGGCGTGGTCGCATCAGTGTCCCACCTGCTGCGTTCCTGTTACACAGCTTCCTCTCCTGCAGGTGCTGTCAGAGACACTCATGTGCTCTGTGAGTCTCCACAAGAGAGATAATGGTGTGGGGTAGTGGTGAGGATTCATATCATTTTAAGAAACGTTGGCTCATTTTAGAAACATTGGAACTTATTATGAAGACAGGTAACTTTTTTCTAAAGTCATTTTTTAGCATTTGTCTTTCAACGTTGAAACTGGAAATAAGGAGCTTCCCCCAAAGACTAGTTCACAGTGGATTCATTGACAGATGAGAGGAAGCTCTAATTCTGAATGTGTTTCATGTTTTTCAGATCTCAGTCACGGTGGATTGGCAGATCACTATGAAAGTTCCCACTGGGGACAGCAGCCCACGTACAGAGGTGAAACCAGCAGCAGCTGGGATAAAGTGATAATAGACAGGACTGACAAGGAGGCGTGGCCTTCCATCACAGGAGCAGAGACTGAATCTGCCTCAGAATGTACTACAGACACTGACTCTGCCTCCAACTGTGGCTCAGAGAACAGTAGCATGGCTACGGGGAGTGCCCAGGGCACCTTCACTGGACATACCAAGAAGACAAATGGCAATAATGGCACCAACGGTGCGCTCGTCCAAAGCCCTTCTAATCAGAGTGCCCTTGGAGCAGGGGGCGCCAACGGTAATGGAAATGGAGCCAGAGTGTGGGGCGTAGCCACAGGCTCCAGCTCCGGCCCAGCTCACTGCTCCCTCAGCGGTGGGGATGGAAAAATGGACAACATGATCGGAGATGGGAGAAGTCAGAATTGCTGGGGGGCTTCCAACTCCAACACTGGCATTAATCTTAACCTTAATCCTAATGCCAACCCAGCTGCCTGGCCTGTACTTGGACATGAAGGAACTGTGGCCACAGGCAACCCTTCCAGTATTTGCAGTCCGGTCAGTGCCATAGGTCAAAATACGGGCAACCAGAATGGGAACCCAACAGGCACTTTAGGTGCTTGGGGAAACTTGCTGCCGCAAGAGAGCACAGAACCACAAACGTCCACTTCTCAGAATGTGTCTTTCAGCGTACAACCTCAGAACCTTAACACTGATGGACCAAATAACACTAACCCCATGAACTCTTCACCAAACCCTGTCAATGCAATGCAGACAAACGGACTGCCAAACTGGGGCATGGCTGTCGGTATGGGGGCCATCATCCCGCCCCACCTGCAGGGCCTTCCTGGTGCTAATGGATCATCAGTTTCTCAAGTCAGTGGGAGCGGTGGTGAAGGAATCAGCAGTTCTGTGTGGGGACTGTCCCCAGGTAACCCTGCCACAGGAAATAGCAATTCTGGGTTCAGTCAGGGGAATGGAGACACTGTGAACTCAGCGTTGAGTGCTAAGCAGAATGGATCCAGCAGTGCTGTGCAGAAGGAAGGAAGTGGAGGAAGCGCCTGGGACTCCGGCCCTCCTGCCGGTCCTGGACTCCTCGCCTGGGGACGGGGCAGTGGCAACAACAGCAGCGTCAGTCATATCCATTCGGGGGCTTGGGGCCACCCCAGCCGGAGCACCTCTAACGGTGTGAATGGGGAATGGGGCAAGCCCCCAAACCAGCATTCCAACAGTGACATCAATGGGAAAGGATCAACAGGGTGGGACAGTCCGAGTGTTAGCAGCCAGAATCCTGCCATGCAGCCTGGCAGTGAACACATGAACTCTTGGGCCAAAGCTGCGTCTTCTGGAACGACAGCAAGTGAAGGAAGTAGCGACGGTTCTGGCAGTCATAATGAAGGAAGCTCCGGGAGGGAAGGAGCAGACGGCCGAAGGCGAGATAAAGGGATGATAGACCAAGGGCACATCCAATTGCCAAGGAACGATCTTGACCCAAGAGTTCTGTCTAATACTGGCTGGGGACAGACTCCAGTAAAGCAAAACACTGCCTGGGAATTTGAAGAGTCCCCTAGGTCTGAGAGAAAAAATGACAATGGGACAGAGGCCTGGGGCTGTGCCGCTACTCAGCCTTCAAACTCAGGGGGGAAGAGTGATGGGTCCATCGTGAACAGTACAAATACCTCTTCAGTGTCCGGGTGGGCCAGCGCACCGCCGGCTGCTGGGCCAGCAAACACAGGCTGGGGAGACAGCAGCAACAAAGCGCCAAATGGCCCAGGGGTTTGGGGGGACTCGATAAGCTCTACTGCTGTTAATAATGCTGCTGCTGCCGCCAAGAGTGGCCATGCTTGGAGTGGGACCGTAAATCAGGAGGACAAGTCGCCTACCTGGGGGGAGCCTCAGAAACCCAAATCTCAAAACTGGGGAGACGGACAAAAATCTAATCCAGCCTGGAATGCAGGAGGGGGAGATTGGGCAGATTCGTCTTCTGTCCTCGGACACTTGGGGGATGGGAAAAAAAATGGCTCTGGATGGGATGCTGACAGTAATCGGTCAGGGTCTGGTTGGAATGATACTACCAGGTCTGGGACCAGTGGCTGGGGTAATGGCACAAATGCAAAGGTGAATCCAGGGACAAACTGGGGAGAGTCTTTAAAACCTGGCCCCCAACAGAACTGGGCGGGCAAACCCCAAGACAACAATGTGAGTAACTGGGGAGGAGCCGCTTCCGTTAAACAGACAGGAACTGGGTGGATTGGGGGGCCAGTCCCTGTCAAACAAAAGGACAGCAGTGAGGCCACGGGCTGGGAGGAACCTTCTCCACCATCCATTCGACGCAAAATGGAAATTGATGATGGTACCTCAGCTTGGGGTGACCCAAGCAACTACAACAATAAAACTGTAAACATGTGGGATAGAAACAACCCAGGCATGCAGAGCAGTACCACGGCCGCCGCCGCCGCCGCCACCGCCACGAGCAGCAGCTCGGACGTGGTCGAGACGCCCCCGCCGCACCAGGCCGGCACCCAGCTGAGTCGGTCGCCGCTGCTCGGTCCAGGTATGGAGGGCACTTGAGGTAACTTTAGAAGTGAAAATCATTTATTCTCGTGACATACGTATACACATTCTGATGGTGTTTCCATATAGCAAAGGACACTAATTCAAGTGTCCTTCACCTTGTGGCGTTGTACTTAAATACTATCCCCAGAGAATAAAGAAAGTAGGATTCTCTGATAGCTTTCTACCCAGGAAGGAAAGATTTTTGACACTTTCAGTTTAAGGAGAGTAGAGAAGAAATAGATCCTCCTCAGGAAAGATGGGGGACCGTTGTGTTAGCTGGCCTTTACTTAGAAAAGTTTCCATTTCCTTATGGGATGAGCCAGTGGCCCTCAAGCCTGGCCTCGGTTAGAAGTGCTTGGGAGCTTGGGGGCTGGGGGACCAGTCGCCAAGATCTCTGGTGTCATCGGCCTGCAGGGTAGTCCATGCACGGGTGGCTGCCCTGCTCCACAGCATTCCTGACGTGTGGTTGGTGCTGAAATGGAATCGTCCGTGTAGTGGCATTCTACAGTACGAGTCATGTTGTGATTCCAGCTGGAAGAAAAATTGTAAAATTAGACTAAAACTTGGGTTTTGAGTTCCTGCTTTGTGCAAGGCACTCTGCTGGACACTGTGGTGGCCAAGAGTCTTCCCGGACCGGACCAGAACCTTCCGACAGGGGTCATGAATTGTGATGAAATACGCACGTGGCGCACCCCAGCTGGGCTGTGTAGCGGGAGCTGACAGCAGCCCCACTTTCTAACTAGGGTTTCGGCTCTCGGTCTCGCTGTGCTCCAGGTGCAGAGTCGGCCTGAGAGGTGAGAACTGGGCTCCCCAAATCGCAGAGCCCCTGGGTGCAGAGGGACCAGAAGGAGAATCCAGTCCAAGTCAGGGCATCACACTTAGGGCCTTCCTCCCCCTTCTGCATTGTCCCCACGCAGCTAGAGGCCTCTGCAGCAAGGCCCATAGCCAGGGCCAGGGAGGCCGCCTCCCGCCCAGCGCCCTTCCAATTCTGGCTGTCCTGTCTTCTTAGACTGAGCCTCCGTCAGCCTCCCTCCGGTTTCTGTAATTGCTCGTGTACCGTTGTCCTCTGGGACTCTACAAAGCAAGGCTGAGCTTCTTGTCCCATCTACCCATTCTCCAGGAAATACTCCTGGGTCCTTACCACTGTTCCTCATAGTCCTGGTTTTAAATCCTTTCTGTTGTCATCTAGAAAAGCTGTAGCTTGTTGAGGGTCTTTGTGCCCAGAACTAATGTCACTGGTTTACAAGTATGGTTTTAGCAAGTGCAGAATTTGTTGAGACTGTAAGTTCCCTCACTCCTAAAAATCCGACTCCTGGTGATGAAGGCTGTTTCCCTTAGCCCTTTTGAGCCACGTCACGCTATTTGTCCTAAATTCAGTTTAGAATCTGAAGTTTTTCTTTTTGTTAAGAAAACTATAAAGCCCTTCCTCACTCAGGATTATTTGTGTGCATTTGGTCGCTTCGTCCCAAGTGTAGAACTTGGGCCCTGGTAAAGCTTTGGATTCCAGTCCCCCAACCTCTTAAGATCTTTCTCTACCCCGATTGTGTAATCAGCATATTAGTTATTCTTTCCAGTTTTCTACCATCCCTAAATTTTCGTAAACATACCCTAAAGACAAGACTAAGGATAGAGTCCTTTCTCCATGGTCACTCATTCAGTCACCTTACATATGGAACCAAATTTGCATCCCAAATCCGACCTACAGGGGAGTCTGGTGAGTGATGTGTTTTAGCTGTGGGCGTCTAATACAGGAAGGCTCATTAGAAGGCACTAGAATGGATGCTGAGTGCTTGTTGCCTCTGTCATGCACTGAGATGTGGGTTAAAAAAAGATCGTTCTCACCATCAAACATCATTCAAACAGATATGAATAAAGAACCATTGGTGCACCCCCACTACCCGGTACCAGAACTCTGTCGGAAACCCAGTTGAGGCTGGTTACTTCCATTCCCCTGGCTCCTACCTCCCAACCTCCTCAATCCAGGAATTCTGATCACCCAGCAGAGCCCCATAGTTAGTAAGGTTTAATAAGTAACTACAGGGCTCTTGTACCCATCTACGTTAATGCTTCTAGAACTGGTACCTTCATCCTTTTATTTGGTATACACTCGTTCGAAATAAATCCTTGAACACTATTATGTGCCAGGCATAGCACACAGAGGCTCAGGATATAATAGCGTGGAGGACAGGAGCTCTGCCCTCTTTAAACCTCCATGTGGACAGAAAGACAAGTACCTGGACAAAAAGAAGTTCAGAGGAGGATCAGTGGTTGGGTTGAGTGTTAGGGTGATAGGAAGGCCTTGCAGAGAGAAGCTAGAGATCGGGAAAGGCCTTTGAAAGAGCTGGATTGTATCCAGAGGACTGAGAGGCTGGTGAGAAGTTTTTGTGGTTTTGGTTTTTTGTTTTTTAGATTGATTTATTTGAGAGAGAGGGTGTGCGCGCGAGCAGTGGGGAGAGAGGCAGGGGGAGAGGGAAAGAGAGTCTTAGACTCTGCACAGAGCCTGACGCAGAGCTCGATCTTTTTTTTTTTTTTTAAGATTTTATTTATTTATTCATGAGACAGAGAGAGAGAGGCAGGCTTCCCACAGAGCAGGGAGCCCGATGCGGGACTCAATCCCAGGACCCCGGGATCGTGACCCGAGCCAAAGGCAGATGCTTAACCGACCGAGCCACCCAGGCACTCCACAGAGCTCGATCTTAAGACCCTGAGATCACGACCCGAGCTAAAACCAAGAGTCACATGCTTAACGGACTGAATCACCCCGGCGCCCCCGGGGAGGAGTTTTAAACAGAGATTGAATGATCAGACTGACTTGTAGAATCATTCCAACCATAAAATTAAGAATGGGTCGGTGGGAAGCAAAGCTGGAGAGGAGGATCCAGGTTCAGCCAATGTTTTGATGGTGATGGTGGCCCTGGTTTGGGACAGTGGTGGGCCGTGGAGACAGAGGTGGCAGCAAGGCTGGGAAACTGGGTGTGGAAGCAAAGAAAAGTGAGCAGAGAGGGTTCAGAGCTGGGGAGAGTGGGCCCACGAGCAGGTCACTCACTGATTTCCCCAGGAGTACAGCAGGGGGCACCTGTCCCGTGGAGGTGGAGCCAAGGTGGATGTAGAAGCCAGCCCCAGCCAGAGCTCAGGCTGGAGGTGCAGCTATGGGAGAACAGCGGGGAGTAGAGGGCTAGGTCAGGAGTAGAGACTTTGTTTAAGACAGAGTAGAGTTTGGAGCCTGTTTAAAGACTGCTGGAGGGGCACCTAGGCGGCTCAGTCAATTGAAAGTCTAACTCTTGGTTTTAGCTTGAGCCATGATCTCAGGGTCGTGAGCTCGAGCTCTACATCAGGCTCCCTGCTCAGTGTGAAGTCTGCCCTTCCCCCACTGCCCTCTGTGCGTGCTTGCTCTCTCTCTCTGTCTCTCTCTCTCTCACGAGAAAAAAAAGACTGCTAGAAAGGAGCCAATTGAGAGGGAGAATGGATGTAAAGGGAAGGGATCCCTGCATCTAGCCGAGAGGAGCTCTCTCCCCAATTTGTAGAGGAGGCCAGGGTGTCTGTGGCCAGAGGGTGACAGGCACCCGCTGGGGTTCTTTTTCTCCTAGTGTCAAGGACGCCAGTCTCCAGTACAGAGGGGCCGAGGGTAGGAGCAGAGGTGAAGTTTGCAATAGCCACATACAAAGTGGAGCAGAGGGCTTACCAGGGGCCCCTGAAGGGCTGCTGGACAGTGTTCAGGATCCAGATGTCACCGTTGCACAGGAAATGAACATTCATTTATCCAGCATGTGTTTATTAGGACCCACTATGTGCCACGCAGCATTCTGGTTTGGGGGACAGCAGGGAACAGAGGAGGGAGAACCCCTGTCCTTGGGGGGGTGCAATCCAGCAAGGGGGGACCAAGGCTTCGTGGGTCAGCAAGCATGTATGCAGTGTGTCTGGTGATGAGGGTGCTGCGGAGAAGGAAGCTGGGCAGGGGCGTCGGGGGCAGAGATGGTCATCTTGTGTAGGGCAGCCCGAGCATGTGAGTAGCTGTTTGGTCTTCACTGTGAGCATTGAGCAGCTAGAGCAAAAGGAGGGCTGTCCTCCCTTTTGAGTTCAGTGCAAATACCACTGCCCTCTAAAGCCTGCCCTGGTCTACCCGCTGGACATGACCCTTCCAGCCTCCTTAGATTCCTTGGCGATTAATTCACTTCTACCTCTCTGAGCCACCATGTCCGGAATACGTTATGGAGCTCAAGACTCTTGTAGCCTCTACATACACTTCTCTGTCCCTAAACCAAAGGTCAGAAACCTGGTGGTCTATGGACTGCACCATATCCCACAAATGTGCCTCATTGGCCCACATTTTTCTTTTTTTTTTTTTTAAGATTTTATTTATTTATTTGAGAGAGAATGAGATAGAGAGCACGAGAGGGAAGAGGGTCAGAGGGAGAAGCAGACTCCCCGCTGAGCAGGGAGCCCGATGCGGGACTCGATCCCGGGACTCCAGGATCATGACCTGAGCCGAAGGCAGTCGCTTAACCAACTGAGCCACCTAGGCGCCCTGGCCCACATTTTTCATGTCAGTCAACATTTTTAATGAAAATGTTTTATGTAAAATTCCAGATTCCTGGCTTCTTTTGGAAACCGGGAAGGTCTGACGCATTGGATTTGGATGGCAGCAGTCAACTGGAGTGGCGTGTGCTTTCTAGTCTGCCACAGTCCTGCCACTGAGGTCAGATCAGCAGCTGTGGGTCATACCAGGCTTGTGTTCTTGTTCTTTTCACATGGGCCTGTGTGCATTACTTGGCTGGCTCCCTGGAGTATTTGAATTTGTGACTCCTATACACTCGTTCGAAATAAATCCTTGAACACTATTATGTGCCAGGCATAGCACACAGAGGCTCAGGATATAACAGCGTGGAGGACAGGAGCTCTGCCCTCTTTAAACCTCCATGTGGACAGAAAGACAAGTACCTGGACAAAAAGAAGTTCAGAGGAGG